CAAGAGCATGCACGCTCATTTGCACATGCACACAAGGGCCCCACCGCCTTCCCCAGGTGGTCCACAGGGTGAAAAAGGTTGGGGAACCCGTGCATTAAAGGACCTAGCTGTGTTAGCAGTGCTCCATGCAGTTGCTTCTAGCCACCATCTTTAATTTCTCATATGGTCCAAAAAACTCCTAGGCTAGAGGTTTGGGGAAAATCTGAAGGTTTACTAGGGCCAATCACATGACACTACTTAGAGTGCTGGGCCAAAAATATTTTTTTAGTGGGTCCCAAGGTGGCATGTAAGCATGGGCTCTGATAGGGTGCTGGAGTCTTGGCAGCTGCCCAAGGATTCCAGGTGCTGATGCAGACCTTGGATAAATATTGAGCATTTTAATCACATGAGTTCTAGATGCCAACATATATTACTTTCAAATAGTAATATCTAAAAGTTTTACATAGTAAACCCTAAACATGAACAAACAAAGTTCATAGACGTCTGCTCATTTATTTCCACTGCAGTGGAACAACTTAAATACTCTCATGCCACTTATTTTAGAGAAAGAGAACAAGGTTTCCTCTACAGATGTCTCTTCCGCATATGATATAAACTCTATTTAGTCATGCAAAACCAGGTATAGTGCTCATACACAATCGGGAGTGTTCTAGCCCTATGCCCCCCACACGGTGGAGTGGGGATGCTATGAGTCTGAAGAGAGGGCACCTCTGTTCTCTGTTGAGGATGGTAATGAGAGTCAGGACCATGGAATATCAGGTTCCAGACTCACATGGAAAGCCTCCATAAAGTGAAGTTTTCTCCCTTATCAGATTATCATTCTCCATGTGTAGGAGGGCAATAAAAGTGGATATGATGATGAAGGACTAGAAACCTTCCCTCCGTGTTTGATTTTTCTATCTGGCTTTAAATGACTTAACGGAGCAATACTATATAGTGCATATGGCGCATGTACATGGTTCTTATGTTCTATGTGCATTTGATACGGTATCCTGATTCATCATTTGGGATCCCTGCACAGACAGCCAAACAGAAATGTGTGGTGTGCTGTATTTGATGATATACAAACAAGGTGTATATCATTTCCTACTTAGAACACTGCTTTGTAGGCTTGCTGAGTTAGACATGTCTCATTACATGCCTGAAGACCTCTCAGAACTGCTATCCATTTTTTCTTGAAATCATGGGAAACGGGTGAGGTGCCAGAGGATTGGAGAAGGTTCAATGTTCTCCCTATATTCAAAAAGGGCAAAAAAGAGGAACCTGAGAACTACAGGCCAGTCTGACATCAAACCCAGGCAAAATTCTGGAACAGATCGTAAAGCGGTCATTGTGCAAGCACCTAGAAAACAATGCAGTAATAACTAGAAGACAAGACGGATTTGTCAAGAACAAATCGTGCCAAACTAATTTGATCTTGTTTTTTGATCAGGTAACCTCACTGATAGACAGAGGGAATGCTGTAGACGTAATATATCATAACCTCAGCAAAGATTTTGACAAAGTGCCCCATGATATCCTGATTAGCAAGCTGACTAGGTATGGGCTGGATAGATCAAGTGTCAGGGAGATATACAATTGGCTACAAAATCATGCTCAGAGGAGGACGATTAATGGGTTCTTCTCTAACTGGGAGGAGGTAATTAGTGGGGCACCAGTCCTGGACCTGGTGCTCTTCAATATTTTTATTAATGACTTGGATGAGAAAGTGCAGGGAATGCTTGTCAAATTTGCAGATTATACCAAATTGGGCAGAATAGCTAATACCCTAGAAGAGAGAAACAAAATTCAAAATGACCTTGATAGGATGGAGCACTGGGCCAAAAGCAACAGAATGAAATTCAACAGGGATAAGTGCAAAGTACTGCACCTGGGGAAAAAAGAAACCAATTGCATAGTTACAAGATGGGGGATACCTGGCTCAGCAAAACTATGAGCAAGAAGGATCTTGGAATTGTCGTAGATCACAAGCTAAATAAGAACCAACAGTGTGATGTGCCTACAAAAAAGGCAAATGCTATTTCAGGCTGCATTAATAGAAGTATAGCTTCCAAAGCCTGTGAGGTGCTAGTCCTCCTCTATTCAGCACTGGTTAGGCCTCACCTTGAGTATTGTGTCCAGTTCTGGACACCACACTTCAAGAAGGATACTAACAAACTGAAACAGGTTCAGAGGAGGGTGACAAGGATGATCAGTGGGCTGCAAACCAAACCTTATGAGGAAAGGCTGAAAGAATTGGGCATGTTTAGCCTTGAGAGAAGAAGACTGAGGGGTGATATGACAGCATTTTTTAAATATTTGAAAGGCTGTCATACAGAGGAGGGGCAAGATCTGTTCTCGATCATCCCAGAGTGCAGGACACACAACAATGGGCACAAGTTGAATATAATGGAAAACGTCCTGTTTGTTAGAGTGGTACAACAGTGGAACAAGTTACCTTGGGAGTTGGTGAGTGCTCCAACACTGTAGGCATTCAAGAAAAACTTAGACTGTATTCCTGTACTGAGCAGGAGGTTGGATTTGATGGCCTTCTCTTTTCTTTGATTAATATAAGATCAAGAGTGTGAAGAAAGAGAGGATGCTCTATTCCTTTTTTGATTTTTTTAGATGGAAATGGGTCAGCAAAATGCTGGAAAAAGTAATTAAAACTGTAGTCCAGTGGACACTTACATCCAGTTGCAAATGTAAACTATTAAACTCTGTGGTATTTACTTGGTCCTACCATTTCAAGATAGAACATTCTTCATATGATTAAAAGGTACTGTGTTTACTCGAAAATAAGACAGGGTCTTATATTAATTTTTGATCC